TTCCAGGTTTTCTCCATTTGTGGATAACAGCTCTCACTGGGGTCACAAAGCTTTCAAAGTGGCTTTTTATCCTTTTCAGACTGACAGACGTCATTGACTCTGTTTCTTAGCAGTTCTTGAGTTTCTTTAGCTTGTGGCATGATGTCTTGCTTTTTGAGATCTTTTATCTTACTTCACTTTGTCAGACAGGTTCTATTTACATGTCTTGACTCATCAGGTCTGACAGTAATTCAGCCTGGGTGTGGCTAATGAAAATGAACTCAGCTTTCCAAAAAATGTGGCTAATCCCACTTAATAAAGGAGGCAATTACTTTTTCACACAAGGCTATGTAAGTTTGGGTGGCTGTATTTACTCATATTTTTACTCATTTTGTAGAGAAAAAATACAGTGCTTGGTCACAGCACTGTATTTTTCTTGTTTCAGGACTGCACAGGATGTCAACAATGTGGTGAATCAGACTCACCTGACAGACGTGAACATCTACTTCGAGGAAGACGACCTGTGGGTATTTGTTACTCAACATGTTGAAAGCTGGAGCTATTCTGATGCATGGCCGGCACCTGAGGAGGAAGGACAGATCAGGTTAGCGGTCAATTCTAGTCTCACGATGGATCACTGCATCAATTGTTGCAGCACTTGTCCTGCAAGATGTGATGAAAATCTGCCACACACAATAACACTGCTCAGTGAAGCTAATACAAGCTTAACTTACTCCTTTATTTATTATAATATCATAAAAACCTTTAGTAGAATGTAAACTAATAAATAAATTACAAGTTTTAATGTTGGTCTAAACTTTTCATTTAGACCTTTTTGCTGCTGTTGTGGGTACGTGAGTTTACCCTCAGGACAAGAACCTAGCATTATCATTATTTAATGTGTCCCAAACGAAAGACATAACCTTTAACTTTAGATACTTTAAACTGATTATCATCACTATTGATCTGCTGTCTTTTCATCAGCTTAACAGGCCTATAGATCAATCAAAGCCTCTTACAATCAGAGTGTACATAAAATCACACAAAGACCTGAAAATCCGCACGTAACAGATCATTTGTTATGCTCGTGGTAGTAGTTCTGCTTTTCATGAGGACAATGCTACAGTAGAGCTCATTCTATTTAATCAGCCAGCTCACTCACACACCTCAGCAGCCAAGTTGCTGTAATACTGCCGTGTCATTGTAAGCAGCAGCGCTAGTGAGCTAACGCCTAGCTCACTGCTAGCATAACGCTAGCATGCCGGCCGTAATTACAATACAATAAACGCTGCCGGTGAGAGAAATATTCAGCTCATGTCACCTCCTCAAAGCAGCTAAGCGACTATCCCTGAATGTTTCTCAGTCATATCCCGAAACTAAGGATTAAGTCTCGAGGGGCCTGAGCTTACCCGGCCATTGTGAACTTCACCACGGCGAGCCTGGAGCCGGCGGCGGCTAGCTCCGGCTGGAAGTCCGGGTCGCTCCCGATCACTTTAACGCCTACCATGGTGCAGTGTGCTGCTGCGATGTGAGGCGGTTACCCGGGTGGTGTTCAGAGCGAACAAACAGGGCAACCTAACAAATATACGGTGTTTTGTTTTTAGCCTTCTGTCGGTGTGTTAGCCGACTAGCCGTCCGGTTCCGAGCCACACACTACAGTTACAGTGCGTTGCTCCAGGATGTGACTCCTGATTGGCTACTACACAACCGGAAAGGTAGGGCTTTCTTCTTCGTCCTCGCCGAGTCAGTGTCCGTACGTTATATTGGCCTCAACAGGTTAAAGAAAGAACAACAAAAATCTTAGGGAAAAAAGAAGTGCAAATCAAATCAAACGCTGGTCTCATAAATCTTACAAATTCAGTAAAGCATAAATGAATGAATGAATGAATAAATAAAGGACAAAAAAGGAAAATGTGCTTTTTGATCCAAACCTCACATGTTGCAAATTTCATTTACTTCTCACCACTGAATTTTGTAGAGAAAATAATGGACTGCTCCATAAATTTAGCTAACTATATATGCAGTGCAAAATGAAAAATAACATGGCCATTAATGCAATAAATGAATAAAATTAAATCCACATACATACATACAATACATTAATTAAATTGAAAATTTTAAAAAAAGAAACATTTATGAAATTAAAAGGCAAAGTACATGAACAATAAAGAAACAATGGACAAATGAA